GATCTGCTAATTGCAACACGAAAAGCCTAGTGCTATCATTGTACTCCCCGCGTGTGTGTATATATATATATATATATATATATATATATATATATATATATATATATATATATATATATATATATATATATATATATATATATATATATATATATATACAGAGAGAGAGAGAGAGAGAGAGAGAGAGAGAGATCGCAGTAAACGATTTTAATAGTTTAAATTCAAACCCACACACAAATACGCTAATTTCGCAATAGGTTATCATATTTTAGCATTACATACTCACCTTTACTCTATAACATTCCTAGCAGATATATCCACAATCAACTCTCATAGCCTAGTTTAAAATGTCATCCTAATATAGTAATTAAAGACATTTCTTACCCTCTCCTGGTCTTTCACCAAGTTTTAGTAAAATTCCATCTAGTATAACTAATGCACTCGTGTAGTATTTATATAACGACACACTGATATGTTACGGGACGGTTAAAGGAATTTACATCAAATATTAAAGACGCAAAGACTGAATTTAACCCTCACTGTATTGTAGCTTTCCAACAACTTTTTAACTTTTGACTTCATAAACTGCAAACTTTATCATATTACTAACGATATATTCATGCAACTTTAAGTTGTTGAGAATCTAAGTATTATTTTATTACAATATGGATATCTTACAGCTGTGAATTCTTGCATATCAACGGCGCTCAGTCATGTTATTATTAATAATGTATATCACTGTGGCCTGTTGGCAAAAGTTCTCACTTCACACGGTGAGGGTCCGGGTTCGATTCCCAGTGAGGGCCGAAACATTGGGAGTGTTTCCATACACCGGTTGTCTATATTCACCCATCAGTATAAAATGTTTACCTTGGTGTTAGTCGGCTGGTGTGGGTCGTATCCCGGAACAAAACTGACCAAATTTGCCCGAAATGCTCTGCATAACAAGGAACTTTCTATATAGTAGTATGTCATTGATGTCAGCTAGGCTTATATACCTTGTACATGTACAAGTAGAAATAAAGGTATTATTATTTTTATTAAGACTCTAAAGACACCTAATTGTGACTAGAAATTTTCTCTTTCGTGTCCCGTGATTGCGTGGGAACAGCGTTTTCCTTAATTAAAACAGACAACGTGTTGCGTCGGACGATGTACAATTCATGATACTTTTATTGATATCAAACTAAGCACTTCTTGCTCAGAAAAAAAAACACTATATCGGCTTGCTTGACGTTCTCCACTGCATAATCACTCTGCCCTAACTCACAGCCGCAACTACAACTTTGTGGTAAATATTTCTCCGTTCATCAATTATATATATTCCTTTTTATAACGAATTAGCTATATTTTAAAGTCTAAGGTTTGTGCAACAAACGTGGATGGTTATTTAGCATACAATAATACAATACATTAATTTCCTGAGGAGTCAGACAATACATATGACAAGGGGTAAATAATAATTGCCCGAAAATCGACACCATGCCTAACCCTTCTAGGGTAGGGTAGGTGCCTGAGCCCGAGCCTTTAGCTCATAAGACTGTCATTCCCATTTGCCCCCTTGGGGCGGGGATGGCAGACCAGAGAGGCCTAGCTTGTGGCTAGGCCTGGGGACAGTTGGTCCCAAAGATGAGGAGGTACTTGTGCCTCCTCCCATGGGAGACTTAGGTCTCAGACACTCCCTAAAGAGGGAGCCAAGGCCGGGCCACCACTTGGACAAGGCCCGGGCCGGGAGAATACCGGCGAATCTTTAATAATAATAATAATAATTGCCCATCGACACCATGCCTAACCCTTCTAGGGTAGGGTAGGTGCCTGAGCCCGAGCCTTTAGCTCATAAGACTGTCATTCCCATTTGCCCCCTTGTGGCGGGGATGGCAGACCAGAGAGGCCTAGCTTGTGGCTAGGCCTGGGGACAGTTGGTCCCAAAGATGAGGAGGTACTTGTGCCTCCTCCCATGGGAGACTTAGGTCTCAGACACTCCCTAAAGAGGGAGCCAAGGCCGGGCCACCACTTGGAAAAGGCCCGGGCCGGGAGTATACCGGCTAATATTTAATAATTATAATAATAATTGCCATTCCCATTATCTCCCATGTGGCGGAGAATGCAGACCAGAGAGGCCTAGCTTCTCCCTACGAGCCCCTTGAGGGCGGGGAATGTGGCTAGGCCTGGGGACAGTTGGTCTCAACGATGAAGGGGTACCTGTACTTCTTCCCAGGGGAGACTTGGGTCTCAGACACTCCCTCAACAGGGAGCCAAGGCCGGGCCACCACTTCGAAGAGGCCTGGGCCGGGAGAATACCGGCGAATCAACAACAAGAAGTATTATTTAAGGAACGTGGTTATCTCAGATATTAATTATCTAATTATTTTTCCCTACACGAGTTATGTAGGAGCGAACGAATAACACTACCACAGTGACCTTGAGAACCCCACTACCACTACAACACTGACCTTGAGAACCCCACCATCACTAGCACTACAACACTGACCTTGAGAACCCCACCACCACTAGCACTACAACACTGACCTTGAGAACCCCACCACCACAAGCACTACAACACTGACCTTGAGAGCCCCACCACCACTAGCACTGCAACACTGACCTTAAGAACCACACCACCACAAGCACTACAACACTGACCTTGAGAACCCCACCACCACTAGCACTACAACACTGACCTTGAGAACCCCACCACCACAAGCACTACAACACTTACCTTTAGAACCCCACCACCACTAGCACTGCAACACTGACCTTGAGAACCCCACCACCACTAGCACTACAACTCTGACCTTGAGAACCCCACCACCACAAGCGCTACAACACTGACCTTTAGAACCCCACCACCACTACCACTACAACACTGACCTTGAGAACCCCACCACCGCTAGCACTACAACACTGACCTTGAGAACCCCACCACCACAAGCACTACAACACTGACCTTGAGAACCCCACCACCACTAGCACTACAACACTGACCTTGAGAACCCCACCACCACTAGCACTACAACACTGACCTTGAGAACCCCACCACCGCAAGCGCTACAACACTGACCTTGAGAACCCCACCACCACTAGCACTACAACACTGACCTTGAGAACCCCATTTCTACCATCGCATTACTGATCTTGAGAACCCCACCACACCTTGAACACCCTACAGCTATCACCACAACATTGACCTTGAACACCCTACAGCTATCACCACAACATTGACCTTGAACACCCTACAACTATCACCACCACACTGACCTTGAACATCCCTCAACTATCACCACCATACTGATCATGAACATCCCACAACCATCACCACCACACTAACCTTGAACACCCTACAACTATCACCACAACACTGACCTTGAACACTATCATAACCATTGCTGCACTGACCTTAATCACATTCTTACACTGAGCACATCCACTTCATCTACTCATGCTGACCTTGAATACCTCCACAACCACCACCACACTGACCTTGAGAACCACCATTGCCACACATCTGAATCATCCCACCAACACCATTACGGCTACACTGACCTTCAGCATGGCCACCTCCACATTAAGCATGAGCATCTACACACTAAACATGAGCATCTCCACCATCATCACTGAAACTGAGCATCACCTCCATCACTACTATAATGATCTTGAGCACTGTCATAACCATCATTACCACACTGTACTTTGAACACTCCCGCTACGCCTACTAATACTCTGACCTACAACTCCTCCACTACCACTATCACAAACAATGAACACCAATACCACTACCACCAAGATCACAGCCAATACCATACTGATTTTGAGCACAACAACCGTCTCAACGAGCACAGTGACATTGAGTAGTACCACCATGACCCCATTGAGACTTCAGCATCCCACCATCACCTCAGCCAAACACATCCTGAGCTCTCCCAACCACCACTTATTAAGCATATCACCATTACTACACTGACGTTAAACATCACCACTTCCGCACTAATCTTGAGAATTGAACCACCACCATTACGAGCACAGTGACCTTTAGCACCCCGACACTACCACCACATTGAAACTCAGTTAAGCAACTTCCAAATCCCGAATACAGCAGTGCGCGGATACCAGTTTGTTATAGATAGACCTGAATCACATTGAGTGTCTAAGAACACCCAGTCATAATGTCTCAAATAATCACTAGTTATAATTAAATATCTAGGAACCTACTTCCACAGAGGACTGGATGTATGTCTCAGCTCACTAACGAGAAAGTATTCTACCACTATTGAATCTACATCATAAATCAAAGGTAAGATATGCCTCTGTGAATGCTGGACAGAAACAGCTTGAATGCTACAGGTGCAGAGTTGAGGTAAGGTTCACTAAGTGATTAATATATTTCCCACACATGCACCAGGACTGCCAAATGAGCGGGCAAGTGTAGCTGAGTGGGATGGCGAATGACATGTAGCTAAATATAAAAATATGCCATACTATAAGGTATTTAATGTTCATTTTAGCTATTAAAGAAATTAACTAATGCAATAAAACATTAAATACAACTTAGAAATGATAATGTATGGAAAATATAAGTGCTATTTTAAGTGAAGATACAGCAACCACCAGCACCATTACCATGCTGACCTTGAACGTTCCATTACCACCACGACCATACTGACCGTGACAACCCATTATTACCACCACTACACTACTGATCTTGAGCACCACCACCTTCACTACTACGCTAACCTTGAGTACCCTATCACTATAGTCAGATACAACTACTGCCAAATTATTCTTGAACACTGGCACCATTTCCTCACAGACCTTGAGCATCTCCATCACTATGACTACCAGAATGACCTTGAATACATCTCCACACCACTCGCACAATGGCCTTGAGAACTCTACAATACCACACTGGCCTAAAGCAGTCTCACCACCACTGCCGCACTTACCTTGAGCACTTCCTGGACCACACTGACCGCTTGCATCCCATCACCTCTGCTATCACTGACCTTGAGCACAGTGCCACGAAGGTCAGATATCTTGTCAGGGAAGGGTGTATCACGGGAAGTGAAGGTGTGGCCGGTCCAGGTGGTTACGTGGGCCACCTGGCTACCCCAGTATAGCTGGTTCATGTACACCAGCCACTTCCCCGGCACGCTTGCCTATCAACACATACATCGTTGTATCAGAATCATTATGTCTTAAAATTATATTAATATTATATCTATGCTTATGCTGTAGTGATTATACAATATCTGCAAATGGAAGTTATTCAGATTTATTCTGATGAAAGTGATGGTTACTCTGATTCCTTTGATCAAGAGCTCTTCACTAGCATCATGGTACCCACTTTCCATATCTTCTTCCCTCTCTGAATTGTCTTATAGCTACTTAATAATACTATAAATAGAATGAAAATTTTCATATTTAGCTTTTAACAAATGTTATACAGATAACAATGAAAACATTGATAACAAGATAACAATGCTGTTCTAACATTTTCTGATTAATATTCAAGACTAAATCGTGCAGCATAAAATAAGTCATTTTGCATAAGACGATTTCTTAAAATATAATATAATAAATAATTTTCTCAGTGTTTTTGTATTTCAACTTGTTTGTGTCTCTTAGTATATATACGTTGAGAGTTTATTTTAATATTTATTTTAAGAATTAAAATATTTTTGACTAGGTTGGCCAGACGTGTACTTAGCTCAGTGAAGACCTGTTTGTGTGCTCTTGAGTGGTGACCTGTACTTTGAGTGCTGACCTGTACTTAACTCTGTGAAGAAGTGTCTTGTTTGCTCCCGTGGACTGAACCAAGATGCCCTCCATCGAGCAACTTTACCAGCAACTTAAGGAAGAATTGAGGGCAGCGAAGATGGAGATACGGCGATTGACCGAGGAAAACAAGAGGATTCGTAGTAGTCCTCCTGTTTCGAGTCCTCAGGACAAGAAGGGATCGTGGTCAGTGGTTGGACAGCAGGGGACGACGAAGTTGACGATCAAGAAGACGAATGGAAAGCCAGAAACGATGAAGAAGAAAGAGACTGCTGTGGAAACTCCCGTGGAAACCTCCAACGCATTCTCGGTGCTACCCGACGAATGTGAGTCTACTACTGGGATCGTCACGACGAACGACAACAAGGAAGGTAAGAATATTGTTGTTGTTGGGGATAGCCAGGATAGATACATGGATAGGGCATTCTGCTTGAAGGACAGGAGTAGGAGACAAAGGGTATGCTTTCCTGGGGCTGGGATGGAGGACATTGTTAGCCGGCTTGACAACATCATGAACGGTAATGGGATCAATCCTATTATTTGCCTCAGTGCTGGAGGCAATGATGTAGGCAAGCGTAGAAGTGAGGATTTAGTTAGAAAGTTCAGGACAGCTATAGACATGATTAGGAAGAAGGGGGGGCGCCCTGTTATATGTGGCATTTTGCCAAGAAGAGGTGTTGGTAATGAATGGTTGTCCAGAGCAATTGGTATTAATTGTTGGCTGGATAAACACTGTAAGGATAATGCAGTACCATTCATTGACAACTGGGACAACTTCTATGGCCGAAATGACATGTATGCCAGGGATGGGGTTCACTTATCCAGGGCAGGTGTGGGTTTTCTTGCTAACTCAGTTGAGGGGGTTGTTAGGACTTTAAACTAGGATTAGTTAGAGGTATGGGTTTAGAAATGATTAATAATGAGTATGGATATATTGACTTATGCTCTGATATTAAGAATCTTAATAGTAACTGTCATGGAGTAACTCTGGGTAATGATAATTTCAGAAATTGTGTAAAAACAAAGATGAATAGGAAAAATGTGCAGAAGAAAAAACATATGATGGTATTTTATGCTAACAGTCGAAGTGCAAGAAATAAAATTAATGAACTACGTTTGGTAGCGTGTGCTGGGAACTTTGATATCATTGCATTAACTGAAACGTGGTATGATTTAAAGAGTCGGGATATGACTGTTGAGTGTAATATTCAGGGATTTAAGTTATTCAATGTGGATAGATGTAATGGGAAGGGGGGAGGAGTTGCATTGTATGTTCGAGAAAATATTAATTGTTGCATAAAAACAGGTATAAAAATAGATGGAGCAGTAACAGAGTCTGTTTGGGTAGAGTTCGTGGAGGGTCAAGAAAAACTAATTCTAGGTGTAATATACCGACCTCCAGGCTTGGATCACGATAGAGGGAGACTTCTTTGGGACGAAATTGTTAGGGCTTCTGTACACAGTAACGTAGTCATAGTAGGGGACTTTAACTTTAGCCAAATTGACTGGAATTCTTTGACAGGTAATCTAGAGTCCAGTGACTTCATGGAAACAGTTCAGGACTGTTTTCTGAAACAAAGTGTAACTGAACCTACCAGGGGTAATAATTTGCTAGACCTAGTCTTGTCAAATAAGGAAACACTCGTGAATAATCTGGAGATCACTGAAGAGCTTGGCGCAAGTGATCACAAATCCATCACCTTTAGCATTAATTGGGAATGCAAGAATAATGATAATACAGTAAAAATCCCCGATTTTCGTTCTGCCGATTATAATGGACTTAGGGAACATCTGTCTAATCTTGATTGGGGTTATCTAGCTAATGATTTTATTGACGATAATCATACTTATGAATATGAAGGGATCTGCTTTTATGATTGTTTTCTTAATAATGTAACACAGTGCCCAGAGTATATACATTCCCCAGAGAGAAATTAGGTCTAATAATAACGATCCCAAATGGGTTAACAGGAGGCTAAAGCATCTATTAGGGGAGAAAAGGGGAATTTATAAGCGCATCAGAAGAGGAGAGGTTAACCTTACTGACCAATATGTTCAGCTTAAAAGAGAAGTAAAAAAAGCGATTAGAAAGGCTAAACGTGACTATGAAATTAGAGTTGCTAATGAATCAAAGACTAATCCAAAGGGGTTCTTTCAAGTGTATAGGACGAAGGTGAAGGAAAAAGTAGGACCTCTGAAATCTGGGAATGGACAGCTGACGGATAATGAACTGGAAATGTGTTCCTTATTTAATGACTATTTTTTGTCAGTTTTTACACAGGAAGATGTAAATGAGATTCCAGTAATTAACAATTATTTAGTTCCTGATGAATTCAAGTTAACTAATATTACTGTCACGAGGGACATGGTTATTAAGTGGATAGACAAACTGAAACAAAATAAGTCCCCGGGACCCGATGAGTTGTTTTCAAGGGTACTTAAGGAATGCAAGATGGAGCTTAGTCAGCCATTAACGAGTGTATTCAATGCGTCCATCCTTACCAGTGTTGTGCCAGAGATGTGGAAGATGGCTAATGTGGTTCCTATATTCAAATCAGGGGATAAGTCCACTCCTTCAAATTACCGTCCAATAAGCCTGACATCTATAGTGGGCAAGTTATTAGAATCAATTATAGCTGACATTATCAGAAGTCACCTTGAAGAGCATAACTTGATAAATGAATCTCAGCATGGATTCACGAGAGGTCGTTCCTGCCTGACAAACTTACTGACGTTCTTCAATAGAACATTTGAGGCAGTTGACAGTGATAAGGAATATGATATTGTTTATTTGGATTTTAGTAAAGCCTTCGACAGAGTACCTCACAAGAGACTCTTGAGAAAAGTGGCAGCTCATGGTATAGGAGGTAAAGTTCTAGCATGGATTGAGACATGGCTTACCAATAGAAAGCAGAGAGTTACCATTAATGGAGTGAAATCTGAATGGGGATTAGTCACTAGTGGCGTTCCACAAGGATCAGTTTTGGGCCCTCTCTTGTTCATAATTTACATTAATGACCTTGATGAAGGGATTACTAGTGTAATGGATTTAAGTTGGATAAATTTAGATTTAGAAAGGACATAGGTAAGTACTGGTTTTCTAACAGAGTTGTAGATGCGTGGAACAGTCTTCCCAGTGGGGTGATAGAGGCTAGGACCTTGGGTAGCTTTAAGAAGAGACTGGACAAATATATGAGTGGGAGGGGCTGGGTTTGATAGGTGTTGGGGGGTGCGGGAGTTGTTTCTTGAGTAGCTTTAGGTAGATGTCGTCTTGATAAGGACCTGCCTCGTATGGGCCAGTAGGCCTTCTGCAGTGTTCCTACATTCTTATGTTCTTATGTTCTTATGTTAACACTCTGTCCTCCGTCCTGCTTATTAGCACTCTGTCCTCCGTCCTGCTTGTTAACACTCTGTCCTCCGTCCTGCTTATTAGCACTCTGTCCTCCGTCCTGCTTGTTAGCACTCTGTCCTCCGTCCTGCTTGTTAGCACTCTGTCCTCCGTCCTGCTTGTTAACACTCTGTCCTCCGTCCTGCTTGTTAACACTCTGTCCTCCATCCTGCTTGTTAACACTGTCCTCCGCCCTGCTTGTTAACACTGTCCTCCGTCCTGCTTGTTAGCACTCTGTCCTCCGTCCTGCTTGTTAACACTCTGTCCTCCGTCCTGCTCCTCCTCAAGCACCACCTTAATTTCCCCTTCTTTTTGGGGCTTTTCTAAACAAAATTATATAAATTACTTTACATATAATAAAACAGTGGAACCGAAGGAATAACCATATATCACTTTTTATTTTAATTTTATGTAGCAGCCGTTGGCAGCAACACTACACACGGAGCCACAGTATACGTGAACCAGACTTAGACGTAGTCTGAGACGGACAGTCTGCTGAGGCCGCTGTTGCCAGTGTTTGAGTTATTTTTATATACATATACATACATACATACATACATACGTATACACACACATATATATACATATATATATATATATATATATAATATATATATATATATATATATATATATATATATATATATATATATATATACTATATGTATATATATATATATATATATATATATATATATATATATATATATATATATATATATATATATATATATATATATATTAATTGTATATATATATATATATATATACGTATATATAAATATATATATATATATATATATATATATATATATATATATATATATAATATATAAAATATATATATATATATATATATATATATATATATATATATATATATATATATATATATATATATATATATAAAATATATATATATATATATTTTTTTTTTTTTTTTTCCAACAAACCGGCCGTATCCCACCAAGGCGGGGTGGCCCAAAAAGAAAA